TATATAAAATTCACTTATCATACACTTCCAAAGCTTAATCACTTTAAAAAGAGTTGTACATACTAACAGCGTGCACTGGAGAGATGAGTCTAGAAGATCAAAGCCATAAAGCTGACCTGAGCAGTTAAAACCTGGTCATCTGATCCTCCCTCTAAGGCCTGATCTGGTAGTCAACATTTTCTGTAGTTTTTGCTCATTCATATTAGGGTGATCTCAGGTGTGTTGTCAAAGAAAGTCGCCCTCTTGAAGTTGTTACATGTTTTTCTGTTTTTTGGAATGTGAAACTCAGGACTGATAACCTACAGAGACAGCAAGTAGAACAAGGGTTTCAGGGGGCATGGGTGTAGTGGTGAAGGGAGTGTGTAAAACGGAGCTGATGTCAAGGAGGAGTTCAGGAAGAAGAAGATGTTTACAAACTGACTGTGGTACCAATTGCACAATTTTGCTTGACGTGATGAAATGATATGTGTATTAACTCCCAATAAATAATAAAAAATATTTTAAAATAATATACTTCATCACAATCAGTTCTAAAGCCCTCTCCCCATTCCCGCATTCATTGTTTGGGTATAAACCTTACTTAACTTTTTATAGTACTGATTTCATTCAATATTTATCCTCTTGTGATTGACTATTTTCACTCAGCATAATATCCTCCAGGTTCATCCATGTTATGAGATGTTTCATAGATTCACTGTTATTCTTTGTGTACATAATAATCTACTGGAAGTATGTACCATAGTTATCCATTCTTCTGTTGACAGGAACTTAGATTGCTTATCCCTTTTGCTTTTGTGAATAATGCTGCTATGAAAACAGGGGTGTAAAAAATAGAGAGAGAACAGGAAACAGGGGTGTATAGATAGAGAAAGAGAGTGTAGTGTCCCTTTAACACTTGATCCCCGCCCGAGGTCTAGGTAGGCAGGACAGAGGGGAGTAGCTTGAGGGCAACAGGCATCAGGGACGATTGAGAAATAGAAAAATCAAGATTTGGTAATCTTCAAAATTTAGAGACTGGATTTATACTGACTCTTATCCCTGAAACACGTATAAGCCTTTTTACTCACACAAAAAATATATGTGGCAGACCCTGAGTCCTAGGGACATATAAAGTACTACATAAACACTATGAAGGACCTGGGACTTATTGGAGGTAAGCAAACACAAGTATAGTCAAGAAGACATCATGAGAGGTTCCACAGAGGGTGAAAACCTTAACACTGATTTTGATGAACCAAAGGGTGTTCACAAGGCGTTAGGAGAAAGCAAGCTTGAAATACAGAAGTGTACAGTAAACTGGGGATGAAACCAAGACGGACACTTCAGCACGAAGTGCATCAGACTGTAGACAGCGCAAACCCATGAGTCACCCCTCTATAAACTCCTTTACTCAGCTGACTGCTTACTAGTAAGCACTTAGCAGAAGGTGAAAGGAGGGCACCCTACAGGTGGAAGGGGGAGAAGAGACGACAAAGGAGAGTCTGGTAAAAAGAAAGGGAAGAGGATGTGAAGGATGAAGAGAAGGGAATTCTGATATGTGTGGGATGGCTCAGGTTAGCTTTGGAATTTGGTTATTGTCCCAGTTGCTATCAAAAGCAGTTCCATAATTATTCAGGTCTGCTATATGTTAGTTTAGACAACAGTAACTCCCTTTATCATTACACCAAATTATATTCATTAAGACTCTATTTTAAGATTCAAAACATCTTTACATGACTACCTTCATTTAAGGTAGCATGCCAATAAGCAACTTAAGAACCAACTCCACCCCCGTCCCCCAAACTTACTACCACCGAGTCTATTCTAACTCATAATGACCCTAGAGGGCAAAGCAGAACAGTCCCTTTGGATTGCTGAGGTTGTAAATCTTTCAGACGCAGACTGGTGGACTCAATCTGTCACCTTGTGGTTAGCAGCCCAACTCGTAACCCACTAGGCCACTAGGGCTCCAACTTAAAAAAGAGGAAACACATTAAATTCTTTTACAGGCTACTGAAAAAAGGAAAGAAACCCTGGTGGCGTTGTGGGATAAACACTGGGCTGCTAATGCAAGGTCAGCACTTTAAATGCACCAGAAAGAGACAAGGCTGTCTGGCTCTGTAAAGATTTACAGTCTTGGAAACCCTATATAGTGTGTCTATGAATTCGAATTGACTCAATGGCAATGGGTTTGGCTTTATAATGTCTAAAAAGAGTCCTGGTGGTACAGTAGTGCAGCACGTGGCTGCTAACCAAAAGATCAGAAGTTCAAAACCACCAATCACCCCAAAGGAGACAGATGTGGCAGTCTGCTTCAAAAGCCTTGAAAACTCCGTGGGCCAGTTCTACTCTCTCCTAGGAGGTCACTGAGAGCCCAAATTAATTTAACAACAATGGGCTATATGATTCCTAAGCCCTTTCCTGATATGTAAATATCCCCAACATGACAATGGTGGAAAGGTTACAATTGTATTCTATCAAAATTAAATTTCCCTGATTTTGAGAACTATATAAAGTTATATTAGAGCAGAATGTCCTTGTTTATAGGAGATAAATACTGAAGTAATTGTCAGGAAAGGGACAGGATACTCTCAAATGATTGAGAAAAATATATAAAAATAAGTAAGATCCAGAGCGGATGATCCCTTCAGGACCAGTAGTGTGAGTGGCAATACTGGGAGGGTGGAGGGAGAGTGGGATGGAAAGTGGGGAACCGATTACAAGGATCTACATGTGACCCCCTCCCTGGGGGATGGACAATAGAAAAGTGGGTGAAGGGAGACATCAGACAGTTTAAGACATGACAAAATAATAATTTATAAATTATCAAGGGTTCGTGAGGGAAGGGGAAGTGAGGAGCTGATACCAAGGGCTCAATTCACGTAGAAAGAAAACGATGGCAACAAATGTACAAACGTGCTTGCCACAATAGATGGATGCATGGATTGTGCTAAGAGTTGTACGAGCCCCAATAAAATGATTTTTTAAAAAAAATATGGGCCTAGAGTATCTGTAGCAAAAAGTAAGAACATGCTTAGAGAAGACTTGGAGTAAGTCAAAAACACACAGAAGACAACTTGAGAACCCCAGTGGTCAACTCTGAGCTGCTTTGTGCATCAAAATAAATGGAACTAGTGTCTATGGGCTGACAAGGGTCACACAACAGGCTTCAATCTGAGAGGCCGGAAGTTTGAATGCACCAGCTGTTCCTTGGGCTTTCTACTCCGTCAACAGTACAACCCACCGGAAACCGCCGAGGGTCTGTGTGAGTCGGCATGGACTGCACAGCTGTGGGTCAGTTTATGAGTCCCTGTAGATGTAAATAAATAAATAGATAGAAAATCTGATGCAAAGCGCGAGGGATAACTCGATTTCAAAGTCCTTCTCCACGAAAGTCTTACTGAGGACAAAGGAATAAAGTAAGTTGGCAACGGAGCATCCTGAGAGGCACCGTCTTAATCAAGTGACCAAAGTCAGTGAAATCAGAAACGGGCTGACGCCAAATAGTGACATATTCCTGACCAAAGTACATACCCTGACACCAAACAAACTCATGAGGAACTTTCCACAAAATAACTGAAAGATGATCTGCTTGGAAAGGCAAGACCATTCCGAGAAGCTGTTCTAAATGAGAGAGGCTAAAGGAACACAAGCGCACCGGCAGCACATTGGTGAAGCTCTTGTCTGCTGGCGGCAAGGCAGCAACACTGTCAACTCACAGTTAAACCTCCCCAGGGACTGCAGAAGAAAGATGCGGCTGCCGGCTGCCGTTAGGATTGCCGAGTTAGAAACCCTGAGTCGGTTGTTCTCTGTCCTATGGGATGATCATGGGTCAGAATGAAAATCACTGACAAGGAGTTAACGTAGCACAATAATGTGCAAGACAAAGCGCAATGTGATTCCAATTACATTCCTTTATATGAAGGACCTTATTCGGATCTTTGGTTAAAGGAGAATGGGGGTTGAAGAGTAGACGGTAGAAACCACTTAATGGATTTGCTGATGATTGTGGAATCATGTCGTAGAGACGTAGAAGATGGCTGCTTGTAGTAAGTCTGCACTTACGCATTCCAGAGGGTGGACATGAAGTAGCCAAGTCTCAAATCGTTCACATGAATGAAAACAATTTTTGCAACATTTTATTTTACAAGTCTGGGATTAGCTCAAAGTCATGATGATATTCACAAACATAGAAGCAGGTGCACGTCCATTAAGTTCTGTGTTGATTTTGTCAGGTGGATGTACCAGATTGAGTTTGACCCATAGAGACCCCGTGGAACAGAGCAAAACTACTCCATAGGGCTTTGAAGGCTGTCAATCTTTTTTTTTTTTTT